TTGCTGGCGATCTTTGTTAGCAAGCTATCCCCATATACCTCAAACACCGCATCTTTTACCTTAGTGGTAAGGGAGCCACGTTTGGAACGCATAGTCTTAAGAAGCTATAATAATAATTAAATATAATTAATATAAAAAAAATTAAAACTTATAAAAAAAATAAAATTATTTACCGGATTATAAAAATATTTTTCATAATATGCATTTCATTTTCCTTTATTGTTTTTAAAGCCTTTTAAAAACTGCTTATTATTTTCATCTAAATAATCTTCGACTGCCACCTTAAGTTCTTGCTAGGTCGGGTAGACGGTTTTTTTAATTAGGGCATTTGCGACACCCTTCACAGTCATCTATTAATTTAAAATACAAATAAATTATATACAAACAATATTTGCCAATTTATTTATTCACATTAATTTAGTTGGAACATTTGATCTACTATTATAGTATGATAGTAAATCATTTGGTAGCTAACACTCCCACTACTGTATACTAAAGATCGACTGCCATACTTCCGAAATTTTATTTCAGAAACAGCCTATTATGTTTGATACAAAAATTATCGTTCTGAAATAAAAGTGTATAAGATATGATTATTATGGGAAAACACAAGTAAATTAACAAGAGAATCCTATTACTACTTTAGGGATATTAATAAAATTAAAGTATCTGGTGTGGAGGTCGTTTAAAAAAAAAAAAAAAAAAAAACTTATACTTGTAAAAAAATTTTTTCAAATCATAAATTTCTACCATTTCTCTCAAGAAAGCAAACACCACAACAGAAAAATTTATTGTAATTCTCGATAAAAATGTTAGGGACAACCATTTTAATATATTGAGCACATGCTTAGGAAGAAAAATTAAAAATTTTGATCCTTTCGCCATTTCTCAAGAAGAATCCAATAAAGATGAGAATAAAATACTAGCCTTTTATTTTGATAGTTTTACGGTATATTTTGGTAACTTTGATCCTGATTTTGCCATGAATGAGTTGAAGGGGGTCGAAGGTGTTCAACACGTAGAAAAATCTTTTAAAGTTGTCTTGAATAGTTGTATAATTACACCCACACTTAAGAAAGCCAATATTACTCAGAGCAAAACATCTTTATATGTGAGTAACTAACACTAAAATTTTTTTCTTATTTCTTTAAAAAGTATTGCTCAGCTTAAATAGGAAATTCTAAACATTTGTACAATTTATAGAATTTGGATCATATCGATACTGCTAATAGGAAATATGATGGATTTTATACATATCTAACTAATGCTTGACATGGAGTGAATGCCTATGTTATTGACTTGTAATATTTCATTATAATATCTATTAGATTTATATAAATGTTGCTAAATGAAACTGTTAAATTAATGTTGTATCAGACCTAGTCTTCTATTGTGATATTCCGGTAAAGTCAAATGTTCTGACAAAAATGTCATTATATGCTCGGAAATACTTAGAAATATCTTGAAGTAGCTAAACACTGTTTGAAACTTCAATTACATAATATAATAATTCTTCTAAATTTAAGTCTGATACAATTAAAATTTAAACTCTTACTACTTTACAGGGTTTCATCTGACAACACTCGTATGTTAAAATTTTAACTGAATATATAATATACCAAAATTTTAGAGGGATACGAATGACATATCAAGAATTTAAGGGTAGAATTAAACTCAGAGGTGTTTTCTGTGATGGATATAAAAATGGCAATGATGATTTTGGGTATATAATCAATTCTTATTGAACTGTTTCTGTTGTATACATATATATGGTCTAAATTCTTGTTTTATTTATTAAAAAGCCATGGGACTCACGTTGCTGGTATAGTAAGTATTCTAGTATACTATATAATATATATATAAATATACTGTATTCAGAAATTATCTTTTGAAAAATTATTGACATATAAATATACAAAATAATAGATTGCAGGTAAGTATAATAACTTAATGACTATTGCATTTCACTCATTTAAATTCATGCCTTTTTATTGCTCACACTTAGAAACAACATATGGTGTCGCAAAATTAGCAAACATCATCAATATTAGAATTGGTGATAAATTTGGAGGTATTGCTGATTCTGCAATTATAAAAGGTGTAAATTATGTGATTAATGCTTATAAAAAAGATAAAAATAAAAACAGTATTATCAAGTAAATATCTTCTTATGCTACTTGTGGCAAATTACTGATTCTAGAAAATTGTTAGTAATTAAGTTAACTATCATTATTTTAGCATGTCTTTTGGTGGTCATTATTCTGAAACTATAGCTAAATTAGTCAAGGAATGTACTGATAATGGTATTCACATTGTAGCCTCAGCTGGTAATGAACTTAGTGATGCATGCACAGTAACTCCATCTGCTGCTCCTTCGGCTATTACAGTTGCTGATTCTGATAAATCTGATCAAATGTATGATTCTTTGAATTATAGACTATGTGTTGACATTTATGCCCCAGGTTTGGATAATAAAAATTTAATGATTTTTAATATATATATATATCATTAATCTCAGTTATATTTGAAAATATAGATGTAAAAATTACATCAGCTTTTAAAGGAAGTGATAATGATAGTGTTGCTCTTTCTGGAACAAGCATGTCTGCTCCTTATGTTGTAGACACAGTAGTGCTTTATATTTCAACTTATGGCAACTTCATCCATTAAAAATGTCTGAAGCAATTATTTCATTAGCAACTAAAAATATTATTAAAGGAATTCCTGATAAAAATAATACTTATTTTTTGCACATACCTTATTAACAAAATTTTTATTTAAAAATTAACTTATTATTTATTGATTATTAATTTATTAAACTAATCTATTCTTTATTAATTTTAATAAAATTTTATATTGGCAAACTCAGTAAACACAAAAGTATATGTGGTGTTTATAATACAGTATAAATAAAAAGTAATTAGAATTAAAATTAAAAAAAACAAAGTGTAAATTAGGCAATACAGATTTAATTAAATGGTTTTCATAACTTTGGCTGTGTTAAATTTTTAAAAAGATTTTAACTACTATATGTTTACTGACTAAGTTTTTAGAAATTTTTTTTTAAAAAAAATTATATATTTTTATATATATGGGGTTTGGTAATAAAAATATTCTTACATAATATAGAGAATTCTAAAGAACATTTGCTATAATGATTACTTGGACCAATTTTTTATTGAAGAAAACCAAATTTGTTAAAGTATTGCCTGCACCTAAAGTGCAGTAAAATAACACAGAGTATAGTTTTTATAAAGGTCAAACTCTTGTTTTTGGAGAACTCCTTTATATTATATTCAACATGCAAGCTGAAAGTATTATTATACAAGATAGCTGTCAAGAGATAGTACTCTTGTATATAAATTTTTAGTGGAGTAACAAAGTTTCTTTATTGATAAAGTTATCTGTGGCAAAACAGTAGGAAATAACAAAAACAAATTTTTTAACACTCACTTTTAGAAATTTGAAGAACCTGCAACTAAATACTTTTTCTTCATATTCTTGCTTGGTTTTCTTGTTCTACATATAAGCCATGTGATTTTATATAACTTTTGTTCTCAATTTGGAATTGGTAAACAATATAGATCTTTTAAAAGAGTAGACAGGTTTTTCTGCTTTTTGTTTAACAAAAATTCTCTAAAAAAAATTAAATAGCATTGGTCAATTGGAGAATATTTTAGAAAATTCTTGCAAAAACTAACTCTACTTCGAAGAAATTTATACATATAATATGAACTAAACTTAGAGTAGAGCAAAATTTAAGAGTATTTTTTAATTTTTTAAGCTTGACACAAATATATAAAGTCTATTGAGATTATTTTATTTGTTTTTTTTTGGTTTTTCTTTTTCTGTTTTTTCTTTTGTTTTTCTTGTTTTGTTTTTTTTTTTACAAATATCCTCTTTTTCAACTATACTTTTGAAGAAGAAAAATTAAAAAAGGAAAAAGTGCAGTATTGATAAGGCTTGTAGCTACTAATTTGAGAATATTTGATTGTCTCGTTTATGGAGTTGAAATCACATCTGGATACTTTAGTATCAAGTAAGTTTTTATCTAGATATTAGATAGATTATATACTTATATACATATTGGCTAGTGCTTATTATTTAAAAATAGTTCTTATATACTATCTGTTAATAAGTTTAGAGTTTAACACTTACTAAATATGCCTGTGTTAGACAGTATTTGTTACTGTATGCTCTAATAAAGATAAAAGCAGAACTGCTTAAAAAATAAAAATAAAAATAAAAATATCCTAAGCTATTGTGTATTAGTAAAAATGAAGATTTTGCTTGTACAAACTTATATTAAAATATTTCTACCAGTTTTATTGTACTAAAAAAAAAGTATATATATTTTAAAAGTATATACTAAGAAAAATTAGGCTAGAAATACTTAAAGCCAAGCCAAGATTAATCCTTATGGGTTGCTGTAAGTAAGAAAGAGATGAAAAAAGAACTACTTGATCATTGCCTATGAGTTTTAATTTTTTGCTAATTTTTAAACCTCAATAGTATTAGGCTTAAATTATATTAGCTTTTAGAATCTGGTTATTAACTAAGTTTAAGTTTCTATGTTTTGCAAATTTTTAGGCTATAATATTATTAGTTCTTAAGACCTAGTTGTTGTCTAGATTTGAGTTTCTAATTTTTTGCTAATTTTTAGATCTCAACAATATTAGTTCTTAAGACTTGATCATTGCATGAGTTTGAGTTTCTAATTTTTGCTAATTCTTAGTTCTTAATATTATTAGTTTTTAGGATTCAGTTATTTTCTGAGTTCAAGTTTCAAATCTTTTCTAATTAGTTCTTAGAACCTGGTTATTGCTTGGGTTTGAGTTTTTAATTTTTTGCTAATTCTTAGACCTTAATGATATTAGCTTTTAGATTAGGTTTAAATTATTTTAATTCTTAGAACCTGGTCATTGTCTGGGTTCAAGTTTCTAATTTTTTGCTAATTTTTAATTCTTGATGAAATTAGTTTTAAGACCTAGTTGTTGTCTAGATTCAAGTTTTAATTTTTGCTAATTTTTAAATCTTAATATTAGTAGCTCTTAGAACTTAGTTATTGCCCAAATTTGAGTTTTTAATTTTTTGGCTAAATCTTAGATCTTAGCAATATTAGCTTTTAGGACCTAGTTATTATTTAGGTTTGAGTTTTTAATTTTTTTTGCTAATTTTTAGATCTTAACAATATTAGTTCTTAGACTTAAATTATATTAGCTTTTAGAAACTAGTTGTTGTCTAAGTTCAAGTTTCTATTTTTTTGCTAATTTTTAGATCCTAATTGTCCAAAGCATAGCTAAGAACACTACATTCTAGATATTTGAAATTTGTCAGATTTTGTGATCATGCTATGTAATTATATAATAAAAATCAGTATTATATAATATAATTCATAATGTAATATACTAAAAACAACAAACAAGTGTCTAACATGATCTGTTAACCAATCAAAATTTTCTTTAAACTACTACTGTTGCTAACTTATATATTATAATGTGAAGTTTTTTTATATTTGATTTGATTAAAATATTATATTATAAGTAACTTTGTATTCTCTATTTAAATATACTGCAACTACTATTAATAAAAGTATAAACATTTCTTGTTTAAATTTAGATATAAGATCTTTCAGAGATTCTTGACTGATCACTCAGAGATCATTCACTATAATATTATTTTCCTTATAGTTTATTATTGCAATGAAAAAAAAGGGATGAACTTATCTTTTTTTGTCACAGACTGTTCTAATTAGCTAAAGTTTATTAACTAAATTTCACAATATGAATCTTTATTGTAATATCTATGCATAATCTCCATAACTAGCTAATGTCTACATTTGTAAACATGCTAATTTGTCACCAAAATTGGGTACATATATACATAGCTAGTATTGTTTTAACTTACAAATACTTAAGGATGTTTAAGGTGAGTTAGCCATTATGTATAATATATTTATACTGATTTTCATAGTTGTAACATTTTGCTAGACCAACACACTAATAAAAATACAAAGTCTTATATAGCAGATCTAGAATTATCTAAAGTTTGATCAGAGAAACAGTAGTTTACACAAGCAGCAGATATTATAGGTTTGGTATTATTATAACAAAAGAGGAGTTTTATAAATATTTAAGATCGAATTTTAGTAAACTTATATAGAAGACTAAATTATAATGCTTAAGAATATTTCAGGTGAGCTAGATAATATTTACTATTATGCACAATATATTCATTAATTTCATAGTAGTAGACCAATGTATTAATAAAATGCAAAGTCTTATATCGCAGATTTAAAATTATCTATAGTATTATATTTCTTAAGCTTAATTACACAAATATTAGTTTATACAAGCAGCAAATATTATACACTTGAAATTATTATGCCAGAAATGTCAATTGGATAAAGGCTTTTTTGATAAAAACTTGGAGCAAAGATTTGTAAATGACTGTATTTAATTCTTTTTCTAGACTCCTGACTGCTATGTTAAGTTGACAAATCAATGCACAAATTCAGATCTACAAGAATGGTTAGTACTTAATATATTTATGGTGGAAAGCAAAATCAAAAAAAAAGTTAATAAAATTAACATTACTGTCTTAAATCACTCTGAATATTTAATTAATTAGTTTTTAACTGAATCAGGCTAATATTTGGCAGTATTGGTTCATATTTAATTTTAGCTAACTCTATACACTAGTCAAAATTTTTTTATATGATAGGACGATATGAAGATGATATATAAAAAAACAAACAACCAAAAATCAGCTATAAGATATAAAACTAGTCAATAAAATCGTACAAATATTGGCCTACCAATATTATAATGATTAATAAAATATTAAATAATAATCCAAAGAAAAGAAGATAGAATGGCGATACGATTAATTAATAAAAAATGACAAAAGATAAGTGACAGATATTATACATTAAAAGATGATAAAATAACGAAGTTAATT